CCCCCCTCCCCCCCACATCCATCAGTCCTCAGTTTTTGTCAGCATTCAAGAGTCTCTCATGGTTTGCCTCTCTCCCTTTCCCCCACCATTTCCCCCCTTCTTCTCCCCCTGGTTCTTAATCTTGAGAACATCATAGATGTTTTTGACCGGAGGCAGGCCATACAAGAGTGTACACATTTGAATGGATACCAAGAAAAATATTTTTGCCTATAAAAATTGGATAATTTGTGCTTTGGAGTTCTTTGGTCCGACTTCATTACTGGCCTCAGCTGAATATTCAACCATGATGCTCACCTACCGTCTATGGCCACTTTGTAAAAGCATCTAGTAGTTTGTATAACAGTTGTGAAGGTTTCCAGATGATGTGTTTTCATATATTTTAAAGTATTTAAAAATAACTGAAAGGCATAACTCATCTGGTATTGGCAAATGTGACTTGGAAACTCAGTCCAGTGTATTTTTAGACTGTACTAGTAGACAATTAGGTCACATCCATCTTTGTAATTAGAAGAGCAGGAAAATGGGACATTCTCTAGCCGTATATGTTAAAAATTTTGAAAAGTGTTCCACAAAATGCTAGAAAAGGGAAAAAACATTTTATATATGGCTGGTGAGAGAGACCGACTGGAAAACAAAACAAAAATAAGCAGAATGTACGGTGCTGAAGGTGATATTAATCTTCTGACTTTATGAGCATTGAAAACATAATGAGGGGCATCTGGGTGGCTGAGTCAGTTAAGCATCTGACTCTTGATTTGGGCTCAGGTCATGATTTCATAGTTCGTGAGATTGAGCCCTACATTGGGTTGTGCAGTTGTGCAGCCTGCTTAGGATTCTCTCTCCCCCTTTCTGTCTCTCTGTCCCTCCCTGACTCACAAGCCCTTATGCTCTCTCTCCCTTCCAATTCTCAAAATAAATATATAAACTTCAAGAACGAAAGAAAACATAATGATAATGTCATGGAATAGATTCAGAGGCCAGTTTCCTAGTGAGTTTTAGGTATGTAATCTTCCAAGTTTGGTCAAACAGCATGTGTGTGAGAGTAAGTAAAGCTTCCTTTGAATGGGAGAAGGATGCAGTGTGCCTGAAATTATCCCTCTTTCTAAAATTGCCCCAATTAAATCCTTTTTTTTTAAACTTCACTGCCTTTCAGGTATCCTCTGCTATAATTCCTATAAAGGTGCTGTCTAATAGAGTGAAGGAAACAGAATTAAAAGTGGCTCCAGCAAGCTGACACTTCTCAAATCATATGTCTCCTACTTCAGAATATTATTTCAAAGTGGAGAAGAATTTTTACTCTGGTTATTTCTGTCCTCTTGTTACACTGTCCTTCAAGCAAAAACTGTGAATTGGTGGTGACAGCCCTTGAATAGTTTCTTTAGCCCGATGATTTAAATTTACTGTGTGAGTAAAATAGAATTTAAGTAATTTGTTCTCATGATATACCAAGTAACTGCCTAAAGTGCTGGTCCTTAGGGCAGCGCTCAGTGGCTATAGTTTCAGATTAGAATTACATTGCTGCAGAAGACAGGGCTACAAGATTTGCAAAACAAGGAGCAGATTTAATTAGTTATTTAAATGATAAAGCTAGAAGCAGCTAAGAATGTTCTTGATTGCAGAAGACATTCATCCGGGAAGTTGATACCATCACCCCCTTTGTTCTCACCAGGCTGTTCTTGAGTAACAAGCGTCTACTAAAATAACTTTAGTGGTGATTTTGGCTTCTAATAATTAAATACAATTACAGTAGCCCCCCCCCCCCCCCCCCCCCCGTATCCATGGCTTTGCCTTCCATGCAGTTTTCATTGTCTGCGGTCAGCCGTGGTCAGGCAGCAGATGATCCTTCTAAGGAATGGTCAGGGCTCAACAGCCTAACCCTACATGACTCATCTCGCTTCATCTCATCACATAGACATTTTATCATCTCATGTCATCACAAGAAGAATGGTGAGTGAGATACATTAAGATATTTTGAAAGAGAGACAGAGGAGGCCACATTCACATAACTTTTATTACATTTGGTGTTATAATTTTTCTATTTTATTAGGACCCTATATATAGGGTTCAATACCGTTCACAGTTTCAGGCATCGATTGGGGGTCTTGGAAAGTACCCCTCTCAGATAAAGTGGGCGGGGACTACAGTAGTGTTAAAAAATAGGTTATTTAGGGGTGTCTGGGTGGCTCTGTCTGTTAGGCTTCTGACTTTGGCTCCGGTCACAATCTCACAGTTCGTGAGTTCAAGCCCCATGTCAGGCTCTGTGCTGACAGCTCAGAGCCTGGAGCCTGCTTCGGATTCTGTGTCTCCCTCTCTCTGCCCCTTCTCTACTCCCACTTTGTTTCTCTCTCTCTCTCAAAAATGAATAAGCATTAAAAAAAAGAATACAATGTTTGTTTTGCTTTTTTCAGGTAGGAAGAGCAGTGATCTATTTTTGCTAATTGCTAAGGAAGGCCTGTGTTGTGGTTTTGAATTGACAGAAATGTCCATGTAGAAGGCAAGAATTTTCAAAATAACTTTATAGTGAATTTTAAGAATCAAAAATAACTTCAAAGAGGAAGTGAATGGCAGTGAAATGTGTTTATAGTGCACATACTGTTTAACCTAAAGGAAGAAACATA